ATATGTAAAAAAAACTTTTGTTTTGCATGTGATCTTTCCTAAAATCACATTCAACTATGCAACCTCTAATTTTTTTTTTCTTATTTATAAATTATAAATTGCAGAATTATATTTAAGTAGAACATATTCGGACATAAGCCTATGGGTTATAAAAAGGTCCAATTTGATGTTTTATCCAAAATGGGCCCAAAATCATGAACATAATCAAGCCCTGTTGGAATGAAAATCTTCCCGCCCAAATAGTTCTATTGCCGACGTATCGTAGCCATTTATAAGTCGATTTCCTTACCCCAGTATCCCCCAATCGCAAACGAATCAAACCCTAACCCTAGATTTTTTGCTAACTAGGTATGTTTTCTTCATCTTTTTCCTCGATGTCGACTCTAATTTTTGTCATTTACAACCATTTTCGCTTCGATTTTTGACCTAGTTTGTTGTTTCGGTTGTTTCATTCAGGATCAAACGATGAAAGGAGGCAAATCAAGCGGTGCTACGAGGAAAGCCGATACCAAGTACGATTTAATCTAACTATGTTCAACACATACCATCCGCTAGGGTTTAATGTTGTATTTTTTTCATCTTCAATGAATTAGGTTTTTGTTTTTCCCCAGGATCATGATTTTGGTACTTTTTAACAATTGTTTGTTGTAATTTTAGGTTGGCTGTAAAGAAAACTGCAGCCAAGGGGAAAGCAGCTAAGGATCCCAATAAACCCAAGAGACCTGCTAGCGCCTTCTTTGTCTTCATGTTAGTAGCTGTTCTTCGTTTATCTACCTTCAAGTTTTACTTCCGTTTCCAAAGTTTAAATACTTTTCCTTTTGTTAATGTTGTGAAGGGAGGACTTTAGAAAGCAGTTCAAAGAAGATAACCCTGACAACAAATCTGTTGCTGCTGTAAGTGATCTTCCTTTTTGCCTTTTTGTCATCGAAACTTCTTAAGCTTTGTTTCAAGTATTCTGTATCTAGATTGAGTTGAATTTGTGTTTTTAGATTTTGAATTGGACTTTACTTGTATAATTATCAGGTTGGTAAAGCTGGTGGGGCAAAATGGAAGTCAATGTCCGACTCTGTAAGTAGCACTTACACTACATTACCATGTTTAGTTTTTGAGGCAAAATTATAATGCTCATCAACTTCTTAAGAATTTATAAAAAATTGATGTGGTCTTTAGTTATTTACCCCTGTTTTTTGGATGATGTGAATGTAGGAAAAGGCACCTTTTCAAGCCAAAGCTGACAAAAGAAAGAAGGAATATGAGAAGAACTTGGACACCTACAACAAAAAACTTGTAAAATCTTTGTTAAAACTTAGAAGTCATATGCTTATCATTATAATATTGTTGTTTTTGATTCATTGACATTGAGTTTGCTGCCATGTAAATAGGCTGGAGGTGGTAATGATGATGATGAGGATTCTGACAAATCTAAGTCTGAAGTCAATGATGAAGCAGATGAGGATGAAAGTGATGATGTATGTTTTTTATAAAACATAATGTTATTGATACTTGTTTTTTCAGTATATGATTAATCTTTTTTAACAAATGAAACTTAATTTGTGTTTTGTAGGAGGAAGATGATGACTGAATCAAGAAAGTGGAAGTTGATTCGGTGTTGATGGTTTGATAAGTTACTTGCTTTGTAGTTTCATGTTACTGATTAGAATAGATTTGGTTTTTATGGTGCACAGGAAAAAGGAAATGTAACTTTGGTTGGCTCTAATGTTAGCTTTTGTATCTTCCAAATTTACCCTTTTGGGGTGGTTTTCTGTTTAGAACAATATCCTTTGCTAATGCATCTTTATCTTTTTCGGATATAAATTTGGGTTTTGTTTATGTTTTCATGCAGTTAGATTATTTCATGTGAATAATTTGATTGTTATTTGCCTATTTTGTCGGTTGACTTTGGAAGTTGTTACATTTCAAATGTAATATGTCAAGCCGATAACTGCTGTTACCTTTAAATAAGGAGCAAGAAGAGAAATTCTATGCTGTGTTCAGTTTCAGTAAAAGAAAAGATGATACATCGGAATAGGATTACTAAGCTTAGTAAAACACAACAAATAAGTTTACTGACACTGATAACTGCTGATGGACAGTTGAGTAAGCAAGGGAGGTGTAGTGATCCTTAAACAATTCTCTCTAGAAATTACTAAGAAAGATTGGATTTCTATTGGATAAAGTTTTCACATGTCATCCACGATTACTTTTGCCATTACAACTGCTGTAGGTTAGAGATGTACATTGGTGGTCTTTTTAGGATTGAGCTTTGTCTTTTCGGGTTCAGGGGGTGTTTGGGATTGCTGTTTAGTTTAAAAAGTCTTTTTCAACAAAAAAACTTTTTGTTGTACAGTTTTTTTCAAAAGTAGGTTTTAAAATGTGTTTGGATTAGCTTTTGAAGTAACAAAGGCTAAATAAGTCATTCTAAAAGGACTTTTATGGTTACCAAACAACTTTTCAAACTTTTAGTTTTTTGAAAAAGCTAAAAATCCAAAGTCATTTTAAAAGTTATCCCAAACACTCTCGAAGTCTCTGCGTGCATCTTTTTTGTTATGTTTTGGGTTTTATTTGGTTCGGTTATAGTATTGTTGTTTTCCTTTTTTTTGTTTTGGTTTTGAGTTTTTGCATTGGCAAATGTGGTATCAACACTAAAATTGACATTAAAATTACTAAAAGAAACAAGCGGAAAAAGTTGGGTAATGTGTGATTATAGGATAGTATTAACACAAAAATGATATGTATATAAACTTTAGTTTCCGGTTATTTTTGGTATCGGCCTCGGGTTGTTAGACCGGTCTTGGAATGGTCCAATAATTTTGAGAATAGTTTGAGAACCAGCCGTTCTTTTTTTGGACCGGTCTCGTTTTAGACTGATTTGGTCTTGCTCTTTTTTCTCGACCGGTACGAACCAATCTTTTTATTCATGTCTACGACATATACATACAAACTATTAGTTAAATGAAAAAGAAAGAAAAACGTCAAAACTAAAAATTAACGATCAAATTGATGAAAATAAATCTATCAACAATGACCGATCGACAATAATGGAAATACATTGTTAATCATAAATAAACTAGAGAAATTTCATGAAATAACCATATCTTAAGGGGTGTTTTCACATTTTAACTATAAAATTTTGAAATTTATAAAAGGACAATCAGATCCGCAGAAGGTGCTATGAGGATCGCTTAATGGCTCTGAGGATCGGTTCTCGAGCAAAAGATAGTGCCAAATTTTTAGGTATGAAAACGTAATTGCCCATTTTTTGAGTTAATTATATGATGTTAGAGTGTATGATAGTTTGTATGAATATATGATAGTTTAGTGATTAGTAAATCCTAAAGTTTTGCCCGATTTTTGCTATGGAAATATCGTTTCTGCGAAGAACAGATTTGATAAGAATAGATCCACAGAGCTCCGTCTGAGGATCGATGTTCATCTCTGCGAAATTATTATTATTATTATTATTTTGATTTTATATGCAAAAAGGATTATTAAGTAACAAAAATTATTAAAAATGATTATTAAGCAACAAATTATTAAAAAAATAGACTTGTTAATTTGGGCACTATGTTTTGCTTAAAAACAGATCCTCAGAGTCATTAACTGATCCTCAGAACTATTTCTGCGGAACTATAAAAACCCCCGAAATTTTTTGTCCTTTAGTGTTGCCAGCTCTTTTCCACTGTGCTAAGATTCTCAGATGGTAAATGGATCCGCAGAGCACTCTCTGAGGATCTGATGGTCATTTTACAGATTTCAAAATTTTATGGTTAAAAGATGAAAAAAACACCCCTTAAAATATAGTTATTTCATGAAATTTCTTAATAAACTATCTAATTTAAATATGAGAAGAAAGGCAAGTTAACTTGGTTTGAAATTTTAAAAACCAAAGTCCTGTGACTTTCTGAGATTCTTTGAAATAGGACGCTTCACTGTTTGGATTAAAATATTTTTAGAAGTTTATTAAAACAAGAATAAACAAATCCCAAACCCCGCTAATGTAACTGCATCGACTCTCCATCTCCGGCAACGCTTCCTCTCCTTCCAACGCCCTCGCCCTCGCCCTCGCCCTCGCCCTCGTCATCTCCGACTCCGGCATGTTTGGCCACAACCACCAGACCAAGCCTTCACTTTCGTACTCTTTTACTTCCACATGTTCCTCATCACCAAGGTCGCTTTCCCCACCACTATTTACCCCACTTCCACACTACTCCTTTCCTCCAACCACAAACCGCCTCCTGACCCAGACCCAGACCCAGACCCACTACTTATCCAAGTATCCAACAACCCGGATACAATGCTGACTTTTGGGTTGACTGTGTTCTACGGATCAATACGACGACCATTCTGATTGACACTTGGGCACCTTCCTTCTCCTTTCTTTCATTTTGATCATATCGGCACTTTCTTTCCCTTTTCTTTCAATTTGACAGGGAAATTCAGGGTGAAAGCCCTAATTCCATCATATACTAGTAAAACTAAGTAATCCCCTCTTCATTCTTAGTTTTCTTTTTCAGCGTTGATTAACCCTTTTGCGTCAACAATTATACCAAAGGTCGAAGGATGAATTCAGCTCTCCAGAATTACAATTGAGCAGCAAAATACAAGGTGATTTATTTATTTATTTATTTTTCATTCTAGTTAGGCATTGTGATATGTTTCTAATCCTCATAAATTACTTCTGCTTGTGATGAAAGAATATTTTAACTCTGCTCTTTCAAAAAAAAAGATCTGATTATAATCTTTGGAAAATACTTTTTATTTTTAATCCCTTCATTATCATTTGTTTCTTTATGCCTTCCACAGGGTACACTCAGTCTAATGGATGAAAGTCAAGGACTTAGTAGCCAATCAGACGATAGCTTTCAACACAGAAGACAACAGATAGAGCCTATTTATAATGCATTCATATGTCGTTTTACAAAACAAATCATGAGAGATCCTGTAACCTTGGAAAATGGGCAAACTTTTGAGCGTGAGTCTATTGAAAATTGGTTCAGTGGATGCAAAGAGAACAACAAAAAACTGGTTTGCCCCTTAACATTAAAAGAACTAAAAACAAGTGATATGATTCCAAATATTGCTTTGAGGAACACAATTGAAGAATGGAAAGCCAGGAATGAAGCTGTTCAGCTTGACATGACACGCAAGTTGTTGAATATTGGTTGTCCTGAGACTGATATTTTGCAGGCTTTGGAGTTTCTTCAACACCTTTGCCAAAAAAATATTTCAAATAAGCATATAATCAGTAATGCTGATTTAATACCAATGATTGTAGGCATGTTGAAGATTAGTAACTGCAGAGTGAGGTGTAGAGCTTTAGAGACTCTGCGTATTGTGGTGGAGGATGATGAAGATAATAAGGTTGCTACATGTTTAATATCAAAATCGGTCATGGAACTTTCATGCTTTATTCACTTCTTACAGACCTTTGTATAAGATTCTTTTTGTTGTGTTGCAGGAGATAATGGTGGGAGGGGATAATGTGAACACAATAGTGAAGTTATTGTCTGATGAACAACCGAAAGTAAGAGAGGAAGCTATCTCCTTGCTCTTTGAGCTCTCGAAATCTGAGGCTATGTGTGAAAAAATCGGGTCTGTTAATGGAGCAATCCTGATGTTAGTTGGAATGACAAGTAGTAAATCTGAAAATGTGTCGACTGTTGAGAAAGCTGATAAAATTCTTGGAAATTTGGAGAATAATGAGAATAATGCGAGGCAAATGGCTGAAAATGGTAGATTGCAACCTCTTTTGACACTTCTCATTGAAGGTATTTTGCATAAACTTCTAGACTTTAATTAGTTTATAAGTATATTAGTGCATATGATGTTGAGGTGGGTAAAGTTTAACCATCACTCAATCCTCTATGTGATAATATAAATTTCCACATCTGTTTTAAAAATCCTAACATTCAAAAAATCATATTAATCAACAATTAAATATTTGAAGTTTAAATAGAAGTAGTTTCATATATAACTCATAACACAAAAACATGATCAATATAATTAAAAGAACATAACAAATCTACAAATCAGTCTACCCTCGTGCTTTTTTCCTTTCCATTTATCAACATCTTCATCGATTTTTTTCCCATTTCATCTCTTCTAATCTTGTACTTGAACCATTCAAGTTTATGTTTTATAGATTAATGTCCCACTTTTTGTACGGCCTTGATTTGTAACTAAAAAAACACAATTAAAGAAGAATGTTTGAATGAATATAAATCAATTTGTCCACCCTCTTACAATTAAAATGGTTGCTCTTCACATTGTGAACGTATTAGTAAATGCTCCAATTTCTCTTTGTTGAAGAGTTGCTAATAGGTTGTGAAAGTACATTTTTAGCAATCTCTGCTAGTTTTGGGGTTTCCAAACCATAACCCGACCACCGGTCCATTGGTTTCACTGTCACTGCATCTATTTCTGTTGCTGCCATCAAATAAAGTCCTTTTTTATATGAAAAGTCGTAGACTTTTCTCGCAAAACACTTTCTTCTTCATTTTCAGTAATTTGTTCAAACGCTTTTATTACACCTACTACAACTTCTTTATTGTGATTTGGAGCTTTTTTAGGAATTCCACATGGGACTAACTTCTGAAGATAATGTTTATCATAAAATCATGGAGTCAATGCAAATCTCAAAAATTGTAAGAAATTGGTCGTCTCTTTCCATCTCGCTAGCACGATACTCTTAACTTTATAGTAATCAGAAAAATATTGATTATCGTTCATGACATCTTTAATCTATTGTGACATGTCCGTTTCTCATGTTGTTTCTCCCATTTTGGACCCTCACCGTTACACCATTTGATCATTAAAAAAATTGGTTTTGTTGTAGCAATGCTTGCATACCCAAGCTTTTGAAGCAAATCCGGTCTTTACTACTTTATATTGCAATGTTTACACACCCAAACATGTGCACCACCACCCATGCCAATAATGTCTACTACATTAAAAAGTGGCTTCGAATCATCCACTGGCCATGGAGTTTGAGTATGAGGATGAAGGGACTGTAGAGAGGCTCTAGCTAATACAATTGCTCTTAATTGATGAAGGGGCAAGGTTAAACAAAGAGACGAGAACATTAGAAAAATCAAACAAAGTGTTGGTGAAACTATTAGGAGTGATGATTTTTCGGTGATGATATGGGTCCTAAAATGGGAGAAATATAAAAAACGGACATGTAAGGAGAGATTAAAGATGAGATGAAGGATAATCAGTATTCTTCTAATTACTCTAAAGTCGAGAGTATTGTGTTAGCGATATGTGAAAAGATGACCATTCCTTTACATTGATTGGGGTTTATGTCGACTCTACGATTTTATGATAAAAATGATCTTCAAAAGTTAGCCATGGGTGGAATCCCAAGAAAATTCCAAATCTCGATAAAAAAGTTGTAGCAAGTGTAATGCAACATTTGAAAGAATTGCTGAAAATGAAGAGAAAGAGTGTGTTTTGCGAGAATAATTTGTGACTTACCATATGAAATAAGAACCTTTTATTTGATGGCAACAATGCAAATGGATGTGGTGATGATGAAACCAATCGACTCCCGGTAAGGTTCTCCTTCGGAAACCCCGAAACTGTAAAAATTTGCTAAAAAGGTATTCTCAAAACCTATTAGCAGCTCTTCAACAAAGAGAAATTAGAGTACTTGGGCAAAAGGTTTGTAGTATGAGGACCATATCTGCAGACCTTTGTAGTAGAGGTGGACCAAACGTTTGCAATGTGCAAAAAGAAGTTTGTTTCTTTTTTAACATCTGCAGACTGTTAAAATAAAATAAAATCTAAATAAATCGATTTTTTAATCGTAAAAGACTTTTAATATTGAATTTTAAATTGTTCCAATTTTATATAATTGAACGGTTCCATCAAATTCAAATTCATTTATGAGATTCAATATTGGAATCATACAGACAATTCGTCTTTGGTCAATATTTTTTATAAAAGAAATCATTTTTTGAACTTAGCACTTTTATGACATTATTATAAATATTTAACAAATCCAGATCAAATTTTATGTATTATTGTATAACCACTTTCTTTTCTTTACTTCTTTTATGTGACATTATATTATGATTAATGTCTGTCTAAATTATTTTTTGGTTTTAATGACAATAAGATAGGTCATTTTTTAAACAGTGTAATGGTATGAATTAACTGATATATTTGATATTTATTGTATTTTGTTGTAGTTAAAATGATGAAATATTACCAAAAAAAGGCATTCAAACAAAAAATGTTAATGTTTGAAGAGGTTACAAAAAAGAGGAATTTGAAAAAGTAAAAAAGAGACATTAAAAAAGGTTGTTTTTTAGTCTAGAACATGTCTGTAGAGTTAGGAGACTCTGGTCCATATCCGTGTCAGGAAGACGATGCACCAAGCTTTGTAGTTCTGCAGTCTTCTAAAAAACAAAAAGTCTCTGCACGGCACAGACAAAAGCGACGAAGACGACCTGCAAACAAAAAACAAACACCACCTTACTCATACATATCAAATGTGAAGAGAAACAATTTGAATTGTAAGAAGGTAGACAAGTTTTTTTTTTTTTTTTTTTTTTTTTTTTTTTTTTTCATTCAAACATCCGTCTTCAATCACATTTTTCTAGAGGATTCCGAATCAGGACCACACAAAAAGTGGGACATTGATCCGGAAAACAAAAACTTGGAAGGTTCGAGTACAATATTAGAAAAAGATGAAATGGGAAAAATTTGAAGATGTTGATAACGGGAAAGGAATTAAAAGGGTCGAAGGTAGATTAATTTTGAGATTTGTTATGTATTTTAGTTATTTTGACTATGTCTTTTTATCTTATCAGTTATGTATCAAATTACTTTTATTGAAAATTTGAATGCTTGATACTATTAAAGGCTAACGGCTTGGATGCTTTCAGGTTCTCCAGAAATCAAAGTGTCCATGGCTTCATACCTTGCTGAACTGGCTTTGAGTGATGATGTAAAAATCTTCGTGGCTAGGAGCATGGGTTCATCATTGATCGACCTCTTGAAAAGTGATAATATGCAGTCTAGAGTAGCATCCCTCATTGCTCTAAATCAAATCTCATCTTGTGAGTCAAGTGCGAAGATCTTGGTTGACCAAGGCATACTTTGGCCTCTTATCAAAGGTCTTTTTTCAGGCTCAAAGCAGCTCCCTATGCAATTCAAAGAAATCTCTGCTACAATACTTGCAAACATAGCAAGCTCCGACTGTGACTTTGACTCTATCCCAGTGGGTCCCAACCACCAGACCCTTGTGTCTGAAGACATACTTCACAACTATCTTCATTTGATCAACAACACTGGACCAACAATGGAATGCAAGCTTCTACATGTTCTTGTTGGACTCACTAGCTCCCCCATTGCTAAAGCTGGCGTTGTGTCAGCAATTAAAAGCTCGGGTGCTATTAACAGTTTGGTTACGTTTATTGAAGCCCCACAGCAAGATCTCCGCATCACTTCAATAAAACTTCTCCAGAATCTTTCTCCAAACATGGGTCAAGAATTAGCTACTTCTTTACGCACGACGCCTGGTCTTCTAAGTAGTTTAATCAAAGTAGTTGTGGAAAACATAACATGTACAGAAGAACAAGCTGCAGCTGTTGGGCTTCTAGCAGATCTTTTGGAAAGAGATATCGGATTCACACGACAAATGCTAGAAGAAGGTGTGTTTGAAATGGTGATTTCAAGAATCAGAATGGTTCATCAAGAAGATCCTAGAGGAAGCCGTTTTGTAGCACCATATTTAGAAGGGCTCGTGCGTGTCCTCTCGATGTTAACATTTATGTTACCCGATGAACTGAAAGTTGTTTCTTTATGTCGTGATCATGATCTTGTGGGGTTATTTGTTGACCTTCTTCAGGTCAACGGGCTTGACAATGTGCAAATGGTTTCAGCTTTTGGGCTTCTAGCAGATCTTTTGGAAAAAGATATTGGATTCACACGACAAATGCTAGAAGAAGGCGCGTTTGAAATGGTGATTACCAGAATCAGAATGGTTCATCAAGAAGATCCTAGAGGAAGCCGTTTTGTAACACCGTATTTAGAAGGGCTCACACGTGTCCTTTCAAGGTTAACATTCATGTTACCCGATGAACCGAAAGCTGTTTCTTTATGTCGTGAGCATGATGTTGCAGGGTTATTTGTTGACCTTCTTCAGGTCAACGGGATAGACAATGTGCAAATGGTTTCGGCTTTTGCTTTGGAGAATTTATCTCGACAATCCAAAATCCTAAGCAAACTCCCCGAAATGCCAATCTTTCACTATTTCAGCAAACAAACAGTGGTGACTGGATTGTGTCAGGTTCACCGTGGAGTGTGTTCACAAAGGGATACTTTCTGTCTATTAGAAGGATCAGCTTTGCCAAAACTTGTGGCACTCTTAGATCACACAAATGAGAAAGTAACTGAAGCATCATTAGCTGCATTGTCAACTTTACTAGATGATGGGGTCAATATAGAAGGAGGGGTGGCTGTCTTACGTGAGGTGGAAGGAATCAAACCGATTATGGATATTTTGCTTGAAAAACAAACAGATAATTTATGGAGAAGAGCCGTTTGGGTGGTGGAAAGACTTTTACGGATAGAAGATATAGCGTATGATGTTTCGGGTGATCTTAATGTTAGCACAGCACTTGTACATGCGTTCCAACATGGTGACTATCAAACACGCCAAACTGCAGAACGTGCCCTGAAACATGTTGACAAGATACCAAATTTCTCGAGTTTATTTCTTCATCTTCTTAACACACCAAATCTACAAGGCTACAGATAATCCATGGAGAAGATTTATAGTTTACACCAAATGATTTTTAAATAATATTGTAATGAGTTTTCATGTATTGAACAAATAGGTTAATTGCTTATTTATGCAACAACTGTTCACCTTTTTCCAATTTATGCAACAATGATGTTTTTTATAATGGACAAAATCATGCAAAGAGTTAATCTGAAACCTTCTTAACCAGTTACCAGTTTATTTATTTTTCTTTTAAATGCTTACTTGGATATATAATCCACGCGTATAAAAAATCCATGTCACTTCTCCCTCCTAGTTCATACGGTTTGTTGAGGTATACAGTTCAAAACTAAGCCTCTTTGACTTCTTTCATACTTTGAAGATCGATTTGGGTCAACATTGTTGAAGGTCATCACTAGCCCAATAGAATCATGTTATTGTCTAGAAGAAGTTAGCATGTTCTAGAATGATCTGGAAGATTCTAGAACATTATGGAATACGATGGAGGAGTGTTGAAGATGCCGGAAGATTCTAGAATACTCTAGAACGAGATGGAAGACCCTGGAAGGCTATGGAACATTCTAGAACACTATGGAAGACACAAGAATGTCTATACTTATCTAGGACATTATAGAACATTCTAGAAACATATAAAAGCTTGTAATAGATATAGAATATTGTAGATAGTTCTAGAATAGCCATGAATGTATGTAGATCTAGAAACTTCCTATAATGAGGTGGAAACACCTATAAATAGGTGTGGAGCTCATTTGCTCCAAACAATCCAACATCCAAGTATCCAAGAAAAGCCTCCAAGTAAGAAAAAGTGTGTAGTAGTCTCACAAAGTGCAAGTTCTCCTTAAGCGTCTTAATAAAAGTCTTGTTGTTTCCCATATAAAGAGTCGTGTTCAACAATCTGGTATCAGAGCGAGGTTTCTTGATAGTGAGAACAAGTGATTCTCGTTGTATCGTGAGTAGTTTGTGACTCTGCAAGTTTAGTGTCGAAACTAGCTTGTTTGGTATTACCGAGGTACTGCCAACACGATGGGTGATCTCCAAGTCTTCGGAGGAATCAAAAAACTCAACAACAACAACTACAAAACGTGGGAAACATGTATGAAGTCCTACTTACAAGGACAAGATCTGTGGGAGGTCGTTGGTGGAAGCGAAACTACGCCACCAGAGGAAGACATTAATGGTGCTTTGCGCAAATGGAAAATCAAAGCAGGCAAAACAATGTTTGCCTTGAAGACCACAATCGAAGAAGAGATGTTGGAGCATATTCGGGATGAGAACACCCCGAAAGAAGCTTGGGACACGTTTGTGACGCTTTTCTCAAAGAAGAATGATACGAGACTACAACTTTTGGAGAACGAGCTATTATCAATCTCACAACGTGACATGACGATTGCTCAATATTTCCACAAGGTCAAGTCGATATGTCGGGAGATTACTGAACTAGATCCACAATCCGTCATTGCAGAAGCTCGAATGAAAAGGATCATCATCCATGGACTCAGGCCAGAATATAGAAGCTTCATTACTGCTATACAAGGATGGCCCGTTCAACCATCACTTGTAGAGTTTGAGAATTTGCTGGCCAACCAAGAAGCTATGGTTAAGCAAATGGGAGGCATCAGGCTGAAAAGTGAAGAAGAAGCACTCTACACAAGTAAAAGTCGAAGGAATTTCAAGCCACCTTCTAAAGAAGGATACAAAAATGCTGACAAAGGGAAGAGTCAGCAAGGAACCTCACAACCATGGAGATCTCAAAAGATCGACAATAAGAGTTCTCGGGGGAGGAGGTTCGAAGGCAACTGCAACAATTGTGGAAAGTGGGGCCACATATCCAAGGATTGTTGGTCAAAGAAAAAGTCTGTGGAAAGCAATGTAGTAACTTCCAAAAAGGAAGTAGAGGATGAATGGGATGCTGAGGCATTATGTGCTATAGAAGAGAATAAGACTAAAAGAGGAAGGCTAATGTTCGTGGATGCCAGGGTAAATGGAGGATACACCAAGGCTTTAGTAGATACAGGTGCATCCCATAATTTCCTTGCTAAAGATGAAGCTAAAAAGTTGGGCATCAAATACACCAAAAATCCAGGCCGGTTGAAAGTCATCAACTCTTTATCCAAGCCTATAATTGGTGTTGCATATGGAGTACCTCTTAAGATAGCAGAATGGGAAGGCACCATAGACTTGACAGTGGTGCATATGGATGACTATCGTATGGTATTGGGAATGGATTTCCTAGACAACGTACGACCCTGGTCATTTGAGAAAGATGATACCATGCGTATCACTAAGGGTTCAATAATTCACATTGTACCCTTGAAGAGAAATAGGATTGGATCCCAAATCCTATCAACTATGCAACTTGACAAAGGTCTCAAGAAGAGTGAGGCAAAGTTTATGACAGCCTTGAAGGAGGAAATTGTTCCCTCAAAGATGGACATTCCGAAGGAGAAGAAGAACATAATGTCACTAGGGTTACATAAAAACTCGCATCTTAGACGAAAAGTGGAACATGTGATGGAGAAACCGGATAAGGCGAATAAGAAGAAAAACACATTAATTCGTAAGAGCAAAGTAAAATCTCTCAACCAAGCAACATCTAAACGAGATGATCAGATCAATAAGGGATCACGTCATAACATGTTAATATTACAGGAATTTTCCAGGGCTTGTAAAAGGGACACCCCACATGCTTACAAGTTCCCCAACGGGAGGCATAAGAAACTATATAAGAGAGTTCATCGGGGTCACGGACAATATTATGGTGCAACAAAAGGCAACCACGAATGTCGTTGTCAACTATGGAAACAATATACGAAGCAACGACTGTAACAACTAAGGAAAAACAAAACATGTGGAAGAGAAAAAGTTCTCAAGGAAGAAGTCAATATGAAACATATCAAGACTAATGACCAAGTAGCAAATGGAGTTCATAAAGGGTTAAGTACTGACAAATATGAGGGCTTTAATTATCAGCTCAACATGGTACAACGAATAGGGGCTAGTGCTGAGGGAGAGTGTTGAAGGTCATCACTAGCCCAATAGAATCATGTTATTGTCTAGAAGAAGTTAGCATGTTCTAGAATGATCTGGAAGATTCTAGAACATTATGGAATACGATGGAGGAGTGTTGAAGATGCCGGAAGATTCTAGAATACTCTAGAACGAGATGGAAGACCCTGGAAGGCTATGGAACATTCTAGAACACTATGGAAGACACAAGAATGTCTATACTTATCTAGGACATTATAGAACATTCTAGAAACATATAAAAGCTTGTAATAGATATAGAATATTGTAGATAGTTCTAGAATAGCCATGAATGTATGTAGATCTAGAAACTTCCTATAATGAGGTGGAAACACCTATAAATAGGTGTGGAGCTCATTTGCTCCAAACAATCCAACATCCAAGTATCCAAGAAAAGACTCCAAGTAAGAAAAAGTGTGTAGTAGTCTCACAAAGTGCAAGTTCTCCTTAAGCGTCTTCATAAAAGTCTTGTTGTTTCCCATATAAAGAGTCGTGTTCAACAAACATTCTATTGATCTCATGATTCAAATGATAGGGCAACATTACAAATGAAACTTGTTAAAGGTAATTGTTTTCGTGTCCAATACTTTTTTCTGTGGTTTCGATCTTCATACCACCAATTTCTTAATTTTACGAATGGCATCATTCTCTTCCTGGTCAAAATGTATTTCAGTTGAGTTACACCTTAAGATGGTGTTTGAGAAGAAGGCTATGAGTTATGCATTCCTTAAGCTTAAGTTGTTGGTTAATCTTCAACAAAGAAACAATATTTATGTATACTAACACTAATAGTCTAATACATATCATTATTCATTCAACTATTTTATTCGCACATATGATTTAAAAAGACAAAAAAAAAAAGAACTTACTTGGTTCTTAACCTGATAACGCAAGATCAGAGCTATATTGTAGATACAAATACCCTCTAAGATCCAGGAACTCATCATATAACTTTACCAATTGGTACATACTGGAGCTATTAGGCTGATTTACTTAAGAATATGAGATATTACAAATTTCATTGTTGAAAGAAACAATCATATAATGTAGTTTCAATTGGAAATTTAATTGTAATTTACATGTACATGTCGACAATAGATTTAAAAAAAAAGAAAAGAAAAGAGAAAAGGGTAGATCATAAATGTATCCCCTTCTCAATTTAAATATTAAGTTAATAATAAAAATAACATTATTATATATTTGTTTAAATTAAGTACTAATTTGTGTACCATGGGGTATGAATTTGATTTGGAACTCTTGGGCTGAAAACCCATTGTATTGTACCATGTAATTCCAACTTCTTGTTTTTAATTGAAGTCTAGCTGTTAAAAAAAAAAACTAATTCGTGACTTCGTCTGTCTAAATTTATCTAATAAATGTTGCAAGCACTTATTTGTATGGAATATACAAATTATGAATCCTATCTTTATATATTAATTATCTTAAATCATCGCAACACCATGCATATTGCTAAATCACCCAGTATTCCGTTTGTCAATTCCTGCATGTTATCGTGACTTTCATGTGTGGGCGTGTGATTAATAATCTTATCACAAGAAACCGTCCCCACACAAGGGTAGTAGCATAATTACATGATTGACTATATAACGTGTTGACTGAAGGGGTAGACCTACAGATGATGTGAATTTTGCCACATCTTCAGTTTCGCCACATGTCTTCATTAACGACTACATGGACTAGATCGATGATGTGAAGTTCCGTTGATGGGAGTGACACATGCAGTGACTCAATCGTTGAATAGTAAATAAAACTGACCAATTTGTCAATTAAAAGCAACATAAATTAATATATGGGTCCATCGATGGTAACCATTGTGTTGACTTCTTCAATAGTCATTAAACCCTTGCAACTATATCATCTCAATCTCTAACTCTAACGATCTTTTTGCATTACAGACTGATCCATATCTCCAAGAACCATGAACTTTTCTACAGCTCTTATATTTATCCTTACTATATTGGATATTCTTGTTTATTATTTACAGAAACAACAGGAGGAACACAATGGTGAGCATAAGAAATCATCCCTGTCATCATCATCATCATCGGATCAACATCGATCCCTACACAACGAAGAACATGATCAGAGGAAGGATTTATCTTCATCATGGCTACTGGATAAAAGATGTCGATGTTTTTCACTTGCTGAAATCAAATTGGCCACCAATGATTTTGATGATGCGTTTGTAATCGGAAAGGGAGGGTTCGGGAAGGTATACAAAGGTAAGATTGACTTTGGGGAAGAAGGAATTGATGTTGCCATTAAGAGGTTGAATCTTGAACATTCGAGTCAAGGGGCAACCGAGTTCAAGGCAGAGATTGAGATGCTTTCCAAGTTTCGCCATAGTCACATCGTCTCTCTGTTAGGATACCATGAAGGATCCGATAAAAGAGAAATGATCATTGTTTATGAATACATGACTAATAGAAGTCTTGAGGATCATTTGCACAAAAGAAAAGTTAACGGAAGTAATTCCTCTCTTCTGACATGGATCCAAAGGCTCCAAATCTGCATAGGTGCTGCTCGTGGTTTGGACTACCTTCATTCGGGTACAGGTGTCAAATCCAGAGTCATACACCGTGATATCAAGAGCTCAAACATCTTGTTGGACGAGAATTTAGCAGCTAAAGTTTCCGACTTCGGGTTGTCTAGGATTGGTCCAGCAAATCTGGTGGGGACCACTAATGTTTATACTGATCAGATCAAAGGCACATTTGGGTACATGGATGCTGAGTATTTTTCAACTCGTAGACTGACACGAAAATCTGATGTGTATGCATTTGGTGTGGTGTTATTGGAAGTGTTATGTGGTAGGCCTGCTCTGGACTTTACATTAGATGAGCAGCAACATAGTCTAGCTGTATGGGCTAAAAGCTGCATCAAAGAAGGTAAGATTGATCAAATCATTGATCCATGTTTAAAGGGACAAACAACAGGTAATTGTGTGAAGGAATTTGGGAGGATTGCATATGAATGTGTTCTCACTCGTTCAAAGGATCGACCCACAATGAGTCAGGTGGTAGCTAGGCTTGAGTTTGTGTTAGCATGGACACTGCAAAGTGGGTCCAGTGCTCGTGATCGAAAACAAATTGGAAGAGCCATGTTTATTGAAAAGGCATGGTCATTGTTCTTGATTAAATCTCCAAGTAAGTTCAAACTTTCTTATCTACTTCTATTGTATTTTTTTCTTAAATTCTCGTTGTGGGTGTTGATTATTGTTTCAGAAAGTCGTATGAGTTCTCCTACAAAGAAACTAGGACAAAGTATTTACAACAAAAAGACAAGTGTTGCAACTGGTTCTCAGAAGGTGTTGCTACCTAATGCTAACACAAAGATACCAATCTTGAAGATGTTTACATTTTCTGAGCTACAAAGTGCAACAAGGAATTTCAAGCAGGAGATGTTTCTTGGAGAGGGTGGTTATGGGAAGGTTTACAAAGGGTGGTTGGACAGTGTAACATTTTCCCCAAGAAAGGCTGGTGATGGGCTTGCTGTCGCCATTAAGAGATCCAGCCCCAACAGGACTCAAGGTCTTAATGAATGGCAGGTTTGTTGAGCTTTTTTCATCTAATGGTATCTGTTTGTGTTTCTTTAAAATATACTCTGTGAAAACTCATTAGATGATGTTTTCTTACATACTTAGATAATTGAACAAACATATTTATTTGATGATTCATCAATACACTATCTCTAACGCCAGTAGGAACATATCCATGTAACATATTCTTTATGGACTGCAAAACGGTAGTGAAAATCAAAATGTTAATCTTGTGTGTTTTCACAACAGGCAGAAGTGAAATTCTTGGGAACATTTAGCCACCCAAACATTGTTAAACTCTTTGGATATTGCTGGGAAAACAAGGAATTTCTTCTTGTTTATGAATTTATGCAAAAAGGAAGTTTAGATATGCAACTCTTCAGAGGTAAGTGTTTAAAAATTCTATCTTTAAGTTTATAAACAGTATATTAATTTCTGTTTTAAATTGGATTTTTCAGAAGGTGTAGAACCACTTCCATGGGACACAAGGATTAAAATAGCCACAGGAGCAGCTCAAGGCCTTGCTTTCTTGCACACTACAGAAAATAATGTCATTTGTAGGGATGTGAAGTCCTCAAATATTTTACTAGATGGGGTAAGTAAAAAACCAATCAAATTTCATGTTTTAATGTTCCATATCTTAGTTTAAATCTTTGTCATATCAATATTCATATATATAATTACATTTCAGGAGTTCAATGCAAAGCTTTCGGATTTTGGACTTGCAAAGTCAGGTCCTGTCAAAGGAGAGTCTCATGTCTCAACAGACATAGCAGGCACCTATGGTTACATGGCTCCTGAGTATATTGCCACTGGTTAGTTTATAAAAATGGTGGTGTTATATATCTCATTGTCAGAAAGATTTTATAAAAATGTTCTTCTTTTGCACATTGTAATTTACAGGTCGTTTATATGTGAAGAGTGATGTTTATGGTTTTGGGGTGGTGATGCTGGAGATCATTACAGGGTTAAGAGCATCTGATTATAATCAAGATGGCATGAAGCAAAACTTGGTGGAATGGGCTACACCTTTTTTAACTGATATAAAGAAATTGGAGAAAATTATGGATCCACGTTTGGGACAAAACTACCCTTCAGAAGGTGCTAGTAAAGCAGCTGAGCTCATACTAAGTTGCCTTGATTCGGACCCTAAAAACCGGCCTTCCATGGAGGAAGTTGTATTGGGTTTGCAAGTTATTGGTTCGGTCAAAATGGAACCAGGGCGGTCAACGTCTAGCACCAGGGGTTGGATGAGCCCATGCAGCGAACAAAGTTGCCCTTGGTCTCCCCTTCGTGGAAAGCAAGGAAGGGCAGTTTGGTCAATGAGCACTCGGTTGTTAGGTTTAAATGTGTGCCTTGGACTCGGTTCAAAGGAAGACCGAACTTGGACGGAAACAAACTGTTCCAAAACCAGAAAATGGGGAAATTGAAGTGAGAATTAGTTGGTATGTCTAATACAATGAAGTACCAAGTTGTGATGAGTAGTTATGATTTGTGTTTAAAGTTTTTTAACCAATTGTGATTATGAATACGTAATTTTTTATATAGGGTTAATGTCACATGTTGCTCGAGTATTGTCATTTTGTTATGTTAGTTCCTAGTCACTTATTTGTATACTATGTATTTGAATTATATGGTCAACATGTAAGCAAGGAGAAAATTGCAAATTTGGTGCCTTTTTTTTGGGGTTTTGGTTTATGTGGGGACCAAAATTGCAAATTTAGTCCTTATCAACAAGTTTCATAATAGTTTTGGTCCTTAGAGATAACCCCATTACGTCCTATGCGTTAGCTCAACTCACGTGCCTCTCATATGAGGGTCTTTTAGTCATTTTACATCTCTCTCTCTCTCTCTCTCTCTCCCTCTCTCTTTCTCTCCCCCCCTTAATCTATTACACCAATCTCTAAAGAACCCTAATTTCTCAATCTAATCTCTCTCAGATTTTTCTCTCCTCTCATTCTAGTTCAATCTCTCTCTTCTCCTTGATCAAGAAACAATTTTGAGATGAAATCCTCATCTAATCGAAATTCTTTCAAAGAACTTTTTTATTTTTTCTTTCATGACAATTACGATGATGATTATGCAAACAATGCTTATATTAAAATTGGTCATTTTTACGAAACATCCAAATGTTTAACCTTTGGCAAAAATAGAACTACATCCAAACATCTAAAAAATGATTAAAACCTAAACCTTCAACCTTCAAACTTACTATTAGAAATCTAGGGTATTTCGTTTGCTTGGATTAAGTGAAAGTTGTGTTTGTACTGTCAAATTGAAGTATTTCGATGATACTCTCGAACTCTCTCAATTGGATACAATTCAGTGATCTTTCGGAACAAAGAATGTAAGAAGTATGATATAGATATGGTACCAGATTAACGACCAAAAAACAGGTATAACACTCTAGTCTGAAAACTAACAGAAGAAACTGTCATAAGGCAGTTCCAAAAACTATCACGAGACTGCCACAAAAATCATTCCATGTCAGGGCTAAACCATTAGAGTCAACATTCAATGTTAGGGTCAAAACCAACCAGGGCCTCTGCCCCTTGGACTCCGCTACCAGGGAAACTGTCCCTGGACCCCCGTTGGTTCAGGGGCTTCACCCATAAATGACATTATACTTTGAATCTTGAATAAACTCAAACAAGTGTGCACTCTGCCCCACCCCTTACTTGTTCAATGTTTATTAAGATTGCATTCATCAACAAATTAATCACATTACACTTAAATAATATTAGTGATACAAATCACCAACATTGTAACATCCCTCTTTTGCACGTATCACAATATTATCCGCTTTAGGCTTCCGACACAAAAACTTCCCAAGAGGCCACCCATCTTAAATTACTCTCGCCTAGGCACCCCTTACTTGTTCAATGTTTATTAAGATTGCATTCGTCAATAAATTAATCACATTACACTTAAATAATATTAATGATACAAATCACCAACATTGTAACATTCCTCACTTGCACGTATCACAATATTATCCGCTTTAGGTTTCTGTGACATCCCCATTTTCACTGCCAGAAAAGACCGATTTGTTTATGCTTTGTTTTATAAAATCAGAGTAATCTTTTAAATAAAACGGTTGCCAGAAAAGACCGATTTGTTTATGCTTTGTTTTATAAAATCAGAGTAATCTTTTAAATAAAACGGTTGCGGAATTTTTTCCCAAAACAATGTGACATCCCCATTTTCACTGCCAGAAAAGACCGATTTGTTTATGCTTTGTTTTATAAAATCAGAGTAATCTTTTAAATAAAACGGTTGCGGAATTTTTTCCCAAAACAAGATATGATAATAACTTATCAAAACATTTCTCAAAGAGAATGTATTTTCATTTAATAATAAAACCTCGGGATGTCATGTTCCGATACAGACATATAAGCATAAACAGAACTTACATTCAATTACACTAAAGATTTACATCTCCTTTAATCTCTCAGTGCAAAGCAGCTTCGTATCGATACCTGTGATACAATTAAACTGAGTGGGTCAGGCTTGGGAGCCTGGTGATCATATAGGGTTTTCAACCCACAATAATATAATTATTATATTCAATCATCAAACAATCAACCCAATTACCCATCCCCATTATCTTCTTTTAATCTTCCCTAAAGATATTATCCTAAGGGTCATCTCCTATATCATATTTACCGCTCATCTCCTTACATCTTATATCCTTATATGCTTGTTCCTAAGAACTTTTCCTAAGGATCATCGCGTGTATCATATATACAATGCTAATTCGGGGATCACTCCCTCAATATGTGTCTAGTAAGGGTTAGGGTATTATTGCATGATTACACAGCCACAACATCGCCTGGACTCGTAAATCATAATAAGGGTTAGACTATCATCGCATGAATACGCAGCCACAACATCGCTTGGACTCATAATTCATAATAAGGGATAGACTATCATCGCATGAATACGTAGCCACAACATCTCCTGGACTCGTAATTCATCGCCTATCTATCATCACCTAATTATCATCACCATTATATCCTCACCTTTCTCTTATCACATTCTTTCAACACACATCAACTATTTCATCTACCCATGTTCTACCCAACATATTTGTAGATATAAATTAAATTTACAACTTATTTAAAAACTCGTATAAAACATTCATTCAACATCCATCTCAAGTAAACAAACAATGTATAAACACATAGCATGTATTTCATAGCAAATACTTCATATCTATGTGTAAGATGAAAGTGACTATACACTCACACATATAAACAACTTTATATTATACACATAACACGTTTTTCGTATAAAATACTTCATAATTATGCGTTAGAAGAAAATAACTACACACTCACTTGATCAGAAGATGATCGGACAACACTACAGCTTGTAGAAGTAGTATTCTTCGGTAGATCTGGAAGATCTTCACAAAAACCGGACTTCTCGCGGACAGAGCTTCGGCTCAGGAATTGCACTTCTTGGGATCTTCGGGGCCTCGGGACTTGCTTCGGGGCTCGGGAATGATACCGGGGCTTCGGGATATTTCTTGCACGAAAAACGATGCAAAAACGCGAGAGAAAGAAGAGAAATGAGCAAATGAATTGGTTGCACTCGACTCCCTTTTATATGGTCTGGATTTGCGATTTACGCTGGGCGTAATCCCACATTACACTGGGCGTAATGTGGATCAGCTCGCTGACTCCCCCCTTGGATAATATCGAAAATTTATATTTAAATTAAATATCGAAAATATTTAATAAACTTCAAAAATTCATATCTTTCTCATACAAACTCCGTTTTCGATGTTCTTAATATCCCCGCGTAGGTGAGACTATGCTCTACAACTTTCGTTTAGACTCCGTTGGCTAATTTTGACTTTATTTTTATTATTTCTTTTTAGTAGGCCGGGACAGGAAAACTCCGTTATAAAATCATAACTTCTTCATCCGACGTCCGTTTTCGCCTATCTTTTTATCGTTTTACTACAATTAATGAGATCTTCGATTCTCATTTAGATTGTTTTGAATAAAAACCGCTCGGTCTCAAATCGAGTATTCGGGCTGCATACCGCTAAGTCGAAACTTCGAAAAATCATAACTTCCTCATACGAAGTCAGATTTGGGCGTTCTTTTTATGCACGCTCACGGTTTAACGTATTCTACGAATTTCATTTAGATATCTAAGGCTAAATATCGCTCTAACGTAAATTCACTTTTTACGTCGCGCTGTGTCGTGCCGGTTCTGTCGCGAAACTTCGACAGGTCATAACTTCTTCGTTATAACTCGGATTTCGGCGTTTTTTATATGTACGGAATCCTTGTAACATATACTACAACTTAGTTAAGATTATTCATTCTAAATAATCTTTCATCAAAAATTTATTTTTGACGCCTATCGTCTCTAAATTGACTAGCCCTAATCTACGGGCGTTACAGTTTCCGACATGAAAACTTCCTAGGAGGTCACCCGTCCTAAATTACTCTCGCCTAGGCACACTTAATTGTAGAGTTCTTATGAGATCTGTTGCTCTCACAACTTTAAAACACGTGACAATGAAGGTATCCATACTCCTTATAAGGAAATGATTCGTTCTCCTTCAAAGTCGATGTAGGATCAGGTGCAATCAACGTTCACCATCCATTATAGGGTTCGATGTCCCCATCAAATGTATCGACCTATGCCCCAACTATGATACCATTTGTAATATCCCCCTTTGACACGTATCACAATATTATCTCCGTTGGGCTCCCGACATGAAAACTTCCAATAGGGTCACCCATCATCAGATTTTTCTCGCCCGGGCATGCTTAACTGTATATTTCTTGTGAGATCTTCTACCCTTACAGCTTAAAACACATTGTGATAGAGAATGTATCCATATCCCTTTTAATGAATGCTTAGTTCTCTTTCCCAGTTGATGTGAGATCATGTGCAACCCACGCGTAACGTCAAGTACAAGCCTTGAAGCTATGTCGTGCCAGGGTAAGCTTTTAGAACCTTAAAAATAAGTAATCTTAGAGCGTGTTTTTATTTATTTATGTGGGTTATCATTTTTTATAAGGATAAACTCACTCAGACCCATTATTAGTGATGACACTTAAAAGACCCTTTCAAGTTGCCTCGTATACCTAGATAATATTTATTGTTTAAAGACTAGTTTTACTTGTTTACGGAATGACGACCATAATATCATACATACATAGACTCTGTTAGAAATAAGAGTGAAATAATGTCTTATAAAAGTCTTCATATATCCTTTTATAAGCTTATAAAAAGTAATACATCAGCCATACATACCTAGTATATCACATAATACTTTTAATCTAGTTCACTATTTCTTCATCAGTTAGATTCACGATAGCAAACATCCACCCACCTCTAAAGATTTCATACAACATATTGCATCCTATTTTGCGGAGGAGATCAAGAAACATAATGAAAGAAAGTCATTCTTTAATGTTGAAAAGGCTTGTTGATATGTTGATGAAGAAACTAGGGCCAAATAGTTGGAAGACATGCGGGGTCTGCTAAGACTAAAGGTATGAATTATGCAATGGTCTACCTTGCTCAAACAAATGAGAGTAATTGACAATCAAAGATCTCAAGTGATAAAGGTGATGCAAGCATAGAGAGGCAAAAACATGATTACTAGTTTTTTGTGGCAACTCATATGGATTTCTGAAGTTGGTATTAAAGATGGACAAGTGATAAGAACTTTGATGTTTTAGTTTGATATGTTTATTTTTTAAAGTAATTTGATGATTTTTTCATGGATGCATATGGTTTATTTTTTTATTATTTTTTTGTCAATGATATTGTATGCAATTTTTTCAAGTAATTTGATGTTTTGTCATGGAGGAACGATCTATTTGATAAGTAGATGCTATTTAGAGTCCGTTAGAATGGTCAAAATGATTATATATATATATATATATATATATATATATATATATATATATATATATATATATATATATATATGGGCTTAGGGAATATGTGGCTGTCATATACCTAAGCTTATATATAGAACCCTCCAAACAATGTAGTTTTGATCCATTTATATCCAAACTAATCATGATATCTCTTTTAATATTCTTCATTAATCATGTGACTTATTAAATCGATCAAATTTATGTTCTTTTTCTTCATTGTGTTTAAGAACTTAAAGCATTAAAAGTCGTGACCATTTCATCAACCCTACTAAATTCTAAATGAAAACTAATAGAATAAAAGATAAAAGAAGAACATGTCATAACTCAATCAAGCTTTTCACAAAATCATTGGATATATTTTTTTTTCAATTGAAATACAAAACACTTGAGTTACATTCGTTAAAAACTATTGGTTTTTTATTTTCTTTATAAACTCAATAATCATTTGCAATAAAATATATATAATTGATCTTTTTCATACCATAATTGAACTTTATTCAATGGTATTCTATTAAAACAAAACTAAGATAAAATGAAATTGGATTTGTTTTATTTAAAACTACGTTGTTTAAACGGTTCTAAACCTAAGCTTAGGTACATAACAACCAAATATTCACTTTTCCATACATACATATATATATATATATATATATATATATATATATATATATATATATATATATATATATGAGAGGGTTCAATTGAGAAAAAAAAGGCTGAAAATGGGGAAACCATTCTCAGCCACTCATTTATTTTTGCCGTAAAAGCCTCCGTCGTACCAGCGGAAATGAAAAATTAATAGACATGTGTTTTCCAACAAAACATATTTCTTTAAACATAGTTTTTTTTTTTTTTTTTTTAAAATTTTTAAGAAGCTATTTTTATCGAAAAATGATTTTAAATATACCAAAATTCATGATTTGTTATTCTCTACAAATAGACATCCATATTGATATAGTTTTAAAATAAAATAAAAAATTCAATTTTTTTTTTATATTTCCAGCTATCGTTATTCATAAGTGAATAAAAATGCACCAGATTTTATTACAGTACATTCGTTATTCAGTTATGAATAAAAAATAAGATTTTTTTTTTTTTTTTTTTTTTTACAATTTAAGTATCCTTCATATATGAATATATCATATAATAAACATAGTATATTCATATTTAAATAGTGGACGATGCATTCACTTGTGAATATTAACATAGTATATTCACTTGTGAATATTAGATGGTATATTCACTTATGAATATTAAATGATATTTTCATATGTGAATATTACATAGTATTACATGGTATATCACATGTGAATATTACATAGTATATTTACTTGTAAATATTAAATGATATATTCACTTATAATATTACACAGTATATTCACATATGAATATTACAAGGTATATTCACTTGTGAATATATTCACTTATGAATATTAGAAGGTATTTTCACAAAGATATATAATTTTTAAATATTATTCATATATGAATGACATACAGACTTGCATATTTGTTTTGTGTTTTTAATAATCATATACTGATTCAGGTGAGAAAACATATTCATATGTGAATATAACGTGATAATTTAGTTTGTACATTTCATCAAACAGTTGGAGTGCATACAAGTTAACTATTTTAAAAATGTTAAAAACGTCAAGTTATCAATTCCAAATCATCATATACTTCCGATTTCGACTTCAGATGCAACATCCTATGTCTGATCAATTTCTCATTTTGATTTTGATTTCCGAAAATCCGATTGGGAACCTGTGAGTACTGATTTTGAGTCCTTCAATGACGATTGTGACAGCGAGTCCAGAACTCTGATTCCAATTTTATGAACATCGAAGAAATTCCGATTCCAACTACATTGATGATGGTTTAGTTGAAGAAATCTGGATGATTGTTGAAGGCTGGAGGAGAAATTTCAAGGATGAACGAACTGTTATCGAATTCTCTATAGTTACATATTTGAAATTGAATGTTATTAACATATTTACAAGTTTGCCACCGTGTCTTTGTATGCTTAGATTAAATGATTCTCTCGTTCTCAACATTTTTTATTTTCTCAATTGAACCCATATCTCTCTCTCTCTTTATATATATATATATATATATATATATATATATATATATATATATATATATATATATATATATATATATATATATATATATATATATATATCCACTAAACTGGTTTTAAAATAAAAATGAAATTGGTTTATTTATAAATAAGTGTTTTTATTTTGTATATCAATGTGGAAAATTTTGAGATTGTAATAGAAAAATTTGTACAAAAGTTGACCTAATTTTTATTAAATATAAATAGTTTCTAGGGAAATTGCACATTTGGTCCCTGTAGTTTGTTGATTTACGAGGTTCCTGTCCATTGTCTGAAAAGACCATTTTACCCTCAAATGAGAGACATGTGGGGTCAGTTAACGGATAGGAGATAAACATGAGTTATCTCCTAGGGCCAAAACCACAATGAAATCGGCAGAAAATGACCAAATATGTAATTTTGGGACCATATGGATCAAAACCACTGGAAAAAAAAAAAAAAAAGCAAACCTCAAAGGCCAAATTTGGAGTTTTCTCTAAAAGAAGTTATGTTGGGTTGTGGAGTCTAAATTTTTACTGAGACTTCCCCCATGGCAGTAGTATAGTAGTATCTGAAGGCCATTATGTTATAGTTCGGGGTTCAAAATGCAAAATTGGGGTTACCTGTATTAACGATGGAGCTGCTTCAGCGTTTAGGTCAACTCCTGCCAATTCTTGTTGGCAATCCTTGACGTTGACTCAGCAAAGAGCTTTGTTAATTTTATTGCTGTGGTCACCATAGGGCGTTGGTTCTGCAATGCTAAACATGACGTCCCAACCAAAGATATTAATTTACTGGCCACTTAATCCTCGTTCTTTCATATTTCCGTTCTTTGACTTGGTATGTTCTTGAAAAGCTTTGTGTTCGTTGAAATTTCAATCTCTTTTTTCTGTGTTGACTTTGTTTGTGTGAGACTCGGTCTCAAATATTTTATGCATAAGATATAAGATTTTAAGGAATCAAATACACAAAGAATGTCAATTTATTTGGATTGTCAAACTCAACTCCAGCATCAACTACACCCGTCAGCTACCGCTGTAGATTAAAGGAACTTTTCTTGCGTTACAAACTGAAATCCATAACTCCGAGAAGGATGTACTTTTCCACTTATCTTATAATTCTCCTCATTGTATTGGGTATTGTTTTTTATTATTTACGGAAACGACAGGAGGAAAATGATGGAGAGCAGAAGAATTCATTTCTATCATTACCATTGGATCAACAATCTCCACACGAAGAACATGATCAGAGGACCGATTCATCCTCATCATCATCACTGGATAAACCATGTCGACTTTTTTCACTTGCTGAAATCAAATTGGCAACCCATGATTTTGATGATGCATTTGTAATCGGAAAAGGTGGCTTTGGGAAGGTATACAAAGGTAAGATTGAGTTTGGGGAAGAAGGAATTGATGTTGCCATTAAGAGGTTGAATCTTGATTCAAATCAAGGAGTAACCGAGTTCAAGGCAGAGATTGAGATGCTTTCCAAGTTTCGCCATAGTCACATCGTCTCTCTTTTAGGATACCATGAAGGATCCGATAAAAGAGAGATGATTCTTGTTTATGAATACATGCCGAATGGAAGTCTTGAGGATCATTTGCACAAAAGAAGAGCTAAGTACGGAAGTAAATGTTCTCTGCTGACATGGGTCCAGAGGCTCAACATTTGCATAGGTGCTGCTCGTGGTTTGGACTACCTTCATTCAGGTACAAGTTTGCAATCTACAGTCATACACCGTGACATCAAGAGCTCAAACATCCTACTAGATCAGAATTTGGCTGCTAAGATTTCCGACTTTGGTTTGTCCACAATTGGTCCAGCAAATCAGGTGGGCACCACTAATCTTTATACCAATCAGATCAGAGGCACATTTGGATACATAGATTCTGAGTATTACACGACTCACAGATTGACACGAAAGTCTGATGTGTATGCATTTGGTGTGGTGTTATTGGAAGTGTTGTGTGGTAGACCTGCTCTGGATTTTACATTGGGTGAGGAGCAACACAGCCTAGCTGTATGGGCCAAAGACTGCATCAAAGAAGGTAAGATCGATCGAATCATTGATCCATGTTTGAGGGGGAAAATCACAGCTAATTGTCTGAAGGAATTTGGGAGAATTGCATCTGAATGCATCCTTACTCGTTCAAAGGATCGACCCACAATGACTAAGGTAGTGGCTCGGCTTGAATTTGTGTTAACTTTGGCGTCACAAAAACACGGTGGGGCAACAATTGCTGAAAAGGTGTGGTCGTTGTTCCCTCTCAAAATTCCAGGTAAACTTGCTTCTTAGAAAATACTATTAATTGTATGTGGAGATATGAATTTCACAAGCATTGTTCAGTGTGGGGATTTAATCTTAAGTGTCCTTTTATTCACTTTCATTTGGTTTCAGCAGTAAATGGTAAAAATTACAGACTTAGAAAAAAGTGGAGCGATTACAACAAAAGTAAACGGATCATACTAGATAAAGATATGACAGAAGGGAGCAATGAAGGTAAAGATAACAGTGTCATTGTAGTAGACCCCACTAAGCCAGCAGCAGAGGGGAGCAATGGCACTATAAACAAACGTGTCATAACGGAAGAACCCATTATGACTGCAGAAGAAAGAAGCAGCAACTGTATAAAAGAAGGTGGTGCTATTATAAATAAACTCGCTACCACAACAGTAGAATGTCATGACACTAAGGCTCAGCCATCAAGTAGTCAGATGGGGACACATAATTTGATGATATTCACATTTGATGAGGTAAAGAGAGCTACCAGGAATTTCCTGCCATCAGAATTACTTGGAGTTTCGGATGGTGCCTCAGTCTATAAAGGGTGGGTGGAGAGTGCATCGTATGCACCATCAGTGTTAGGTGTGGGGATAGCCGTTGCGATCAAGATTTCAAATACAGATAACGCTCGAAGTCACAAAGAGTGGCAGGTACGTTTGTCTATTATACTTTTGAACTGTAAGATGCAATTCCTTTACTCCACCTCACATGAGATATATACATTGAATGCCTAAGCTTTAAGTTTAGTGAGTAGTTACAGTTTCATGAATAAATAACTTTCATAGAACATGCCAATTTAGCATAGGGGTAGCTATTCAATACATTCATACAAGAAGGAAAATTTTGGTAGGAAGGTAAGAAGTTTTTGTATTCGAGTCAAGACCAAAAAAAATTCTTACCGGATATATATATATATATATATATATATATATATATATATATATATATATATATATATATATATATATATATATATTGTTTGAGGTTCAGTTCGCTAACTCAGACAATATTGTCTACCTTCATGTTCATATCCCAATGTCCACATAAGGGTTGTCCCATAAGGTCTATTTACGAGAGTTCCCTTCATGTCCATTGATCCGAACCAAAAAATAAATGCAAGATAACTAAGAACAATCATGTTATTCGAGAAACAAGGGATCTCCCAAAGAGTTCAAAACTCAGAAATTGTTACTCATGGTGTAACTTGTCATACCTATAAGGCTTTATCAAGGGTGGTGGTGGAAATCCAGATTCGAAATGGATCATGTAGGATCGCTTTTTGAACTGATATTTTTACCCTATGCCTGGGTTACAAGAAACCCATTCTAGGATAATCCAAAGGGATATCTACGAATCGAGGCACAGAAACGTAAGCAAAATTACTAGAAATTTTGAGATTATTTAGAAGAGAAAGAGCTAAGAAGGGTATCCTAACGGCTCAAAGAGAAGAGTCGTATTTATACTTTACAGTTTGGGTTTCCATCCTCTAAATTACTTAAGTAAATCATAGAATTAAAAACATAATCAAATGGTTTCCAAAACTGATGAGATATGCCAATTTTACTATAATTACCCACTAGAATTCAGATTTTCCACTATAATACTAATTCAATAGGCCACCCCCAGGTGCTCAGCCCCTTGGACCTTGCTAGGGGCACAACCCCCTTGACCCCCGTCATTTTATTGTACCGGCTTATAATTTGATCTTATATATTTGTGCACTCCGCACACACCAAATATATAATATAAAGTACAAATTACAAGTTCCTTAGCTCAAATATTAGTTTCAATTACACAAAATACATTGTAACATTAAAATCAGCAAAACCCTACTTACCAAAATTAAAAGATAAAAAGATAACTAACTATTAAGGAAAATACTAATCTTAATTAAGTACAAAAGAGAACCCTCCTTATTTGCAGCGTTGATAAACATGACCAAAACGACTTGTATCATTAATCCCTTCCCAAACATGCACCTTGTCCTCATGGTGGAAATATGGGTTCTGCAACTGAATATTGATGAAATTGTTTGACATCTCCTAGCTCTCCGTAATTTTCTGTCCCATCATCATCCGACACCAACAAAATTTAGAGCATTCAAAACTGGCACATTGATGCCTAGGCATTAACCTTTCATCATATCAGAAACATATCCCTTTCGCTGTTGTCTTGCAATTCGGTCTCCATCAACCTTCGAACTTGCCCACTAACTTGGCCACCCAAAGTATTACACCAGCCCCTGTCCCGATTGTGAAAGACCTCGCCTCACCCGTTTTTCCTCTAACATTATTGATATCCTCACAGCGTAAGTCAGGATTTCTGATTTCATGACCCTGACGATTGATCAAAGTTCCGACTTCAACCCATTTGTAAATGTGCCTTCCTTTTTCGACAACTCCCTCAACTGTATCGTAATTTGTTCAAAGCTACTGAGGTAATCATGAGCGGTCTCTTCTTGAAAACTCACCGAAAACTGCTCATATACTCTACCCTCATATGAGGACTGAAATCGCTCTAGCAGTCGCCTCTTCGTTCTGACCCATGTGCAAAATCGAGATCTCTTGTCGCTCCAACGGTACTAAATTTTAGTCGTCTTTCTCGGTTGGTCTCATTCCTCAATGTCATGAATTTTGAAGTATCGTTCAACACGGTATATCCAACTGTCTGATTCAGAAAGGTTTTTGGGTTGAACCGTTTAGATGTCTCTTACTGATTTAGAGACTCAAACTTGATGAATCAAACGCTCTTAATGGATGTACCATCTAGAGGCTGCCTCTAAATGTAACCATTAAAAGACTTCCAAACAGTCCTTTAGATTTGGATGAGAATTGAGGATCAATGTAATTTCGTTCAAATTTTGCAAGACCTTGGAGGCGATATATATGGAGACGGTTGTTCCATTGAACTTGTCCCACTAAACCCTATCAAAACCACACGGATATTAAAGGAACATGACGAAACTGCAAGGAAAGATTAGGAAAGTGTAGAAGAATAAAAGCCACAACGAAGTAGGGTTGGACATTTGGATCGGACCAGACTAATTTTTCAGAAATTAGTGGATCTTGGACCGGACTGTTGAGGCTTATCCGGTCTAGAGGTCCAAATGCTCATCCAAGCTTTAAAAGCTATCATAGAAATTGGAAAAAAACAATTAAATTTTAATTCTAAAATGATAAATTATTTAAAAGATAAAATATAGTTTAAATATAATATTATGATAAATGTAATTATAATCTAAATAGTTAAAATTATGAATTACTTTAGAGAAAACTTCAAATATGGTCCCTATGTTTAGCATAATTTTGGAGTTCAAGTCCCTAAACTACAAAATTTGCACATAATGCCCTTATGGACATGATTCCTTGTGGGTATGATACCATTGGTTGGGGCTCTAATGATGGATCCACGTGATTATCTTAGCAATTCAAACATATCCCAAAGAGACGTCAGACGCTTGTCCCATAAAAAGTGTAAATCCCAACAAGGAAATGGATAACTAAGATGCAGAAACACGATAAAAATGTATAATTATGAGAGCAACACATACCAAGATATAGAAAATGTAAAATGCAATCAAAATAACATACAAGACACAAACATTTAACGTGGTTCCACAATTTGAATGAGTGATTGTGTATATCCATTGAGAGAAACAGACGGGTTTTATTATTAATGAACAATGAAACAGGGATCACAAATCACTTAGAAGTGATCAAAATGAAGATAAAAAATACTTATCTTCAAAGAAATCGCCGAGGAAGACGTCTAAGAACTAGGTCAAAGTGACCTGGAAATGTCTTAAAATGGCTAAACAACATCGCAGTGCTACTTCGTTTTCTAGATCAAGCCGCAGAACAAATGTAGCCCCGAAAGGTCAAATGGTTAGATCAAACTAGCAAACCTCTAGCAGACAAAATAGCATAAGTGTTTTGGATAAAATAGGAGTTGAATGCTACCTTGAAAACTAATAGATCATCTAGCAGACAAACTAGCAGAAACCTAGAATTTCTACTTTCTTCCGGTGATGCTCAATATCTCAAATAGTTGCGAATAGGAAGTATAGTGTATCACCCAAAAAAAACATACGTACTCACCTTGTTTGCTTAGCTTTTAGACTAATATCTCAAAGTTCTTGGATCTTCTTATGTTTATTGAGTGCTTTTACTAGGTGGAAATGATAGGTTTCAAATTTGCTTTTTATTTATAGCCAATGTGTTTTCCTATGAAAATATTTAATTTTTCAGAACGGTTTATCCCTCCCTTTTCTTATAGGAGATATTACTACAAATGAATTATTAAAAAAATGCTAGTTTGCTCAAAAGAAGGTACTAATTTGTTTTATAACTTTTTAAGATTAATTTATTAAATGATATCGTGTGTTTGCGTGTGACAGGCAGAACTAAAGCGGGGAAGGGTTAGCCATCCCAATCTTGTTAAACTCTTGGGGTATAGTTCAGAAGGCAGAATGGGTGTGCTCATACACGGATACATACCAAACAGAAACTTCCTAGACATTTTTCACCGTAAGTATTCCCTTTGTATATTTTTGTGTATAAAATTCCAAATCATGAATTTTCTAACTCAGTCTACAACAAGTCAACAATCCAGAGAATGAAGATCTCCCTCTTATAGTCGAAACCTAATTGGCCCTTAAAATGTTCCAGATTCAATTTCAAGTTGCATCTCTTTTTCCATGTTAATGGGGGGTTTTAACCATATCTTAAATTTCAGTTATGATGATATATAATTGTGCTCATTTTACTTTATTTAATCATTTGCAGGTCGTCGAGTTGCATGGGATAAAACAATGAAAATTGCCATTGGAGTAGCCAAAGGCCTTGCTTTCTTGCATACTGACAAGAGGACCCCTCTATATAGGACTTTCAATCCTTCAAATATTTTATTAAATGAGGTATATATATATATAAGAACCTGATCATCATTTATCAAGTACATTTTCTTGAAGAAAGAAAGAAAGAAAATTCCATTGAACACATAATCATATATAGTCATAAAAGACATTAAACGTGTCAAACAGTATAGTCACAGCAATGCAAATTGGCCTGTTGAATCTTATTGATTTTGTCCTTTTGATGTTAGGATGATGAAGCACAGCTCTATTTTGGATGGGCATCATTATCCCGGGTTCGTGGATCATTTTCCACCACTCGTTACAACCCTCCTGAGTACATGGCTACAGGTCAGTTACCTTAGCATATCCCAGCATAAGCATGTTAGTCTAGTAAAGTAGTACTAACTAGGGTTAATTATATGCTTTTTGAGGTTATACCAAATCACAGGGAAATAACAATCCTTGTTTCTAGGATTAATTATACGACTTCTGTTCTAAAAAAGGTTGTCTTGTCTAGACTTTAAATGTCAAACATGTTAGAAGTTGAGTAAACATTCAAAGAAAATAACAAAACCAGAAACATACTTGCAAAATATTTTTATAGAATTGAAATAAAATTCAGTAAAGCATGGGTACATTAGAACCATTGAACTAACTTTTTTTGTTTCAAATTTACCATGTTTTGGTTTTAGAGCTGGGTGGGATCCATATGGCATCCACATAAATGTTTTATTTAATTTTATCTTTTATTAAAACATAAAATTATTTTAGCATATCAATAATTAATACTTATATTTTTTGTTATTAAAACTTCAACTTTAGGTTGTTGGTATGTCAGGAGTGACGTCTATGCCTTTGGAGTGACGATGTTGGATATGATAGCAGGGTTAGGGTTTCTGGATAACAAGCAGTGCTCCTCACCCGAGAGTTTAATGGAGCGGGCTACACCCATTTTATCTGAAAATTACATACTGCAAAAAATCTTCGAGAAGCGGTTGGGACAAGGTAACACTCCGAAAGGAGCAATCAAAGTAGCTGAGCTCATCCTAAATTGTCTCAAAATCGCCCCAAAAAACCGACCTTCAATGAAAGAAATTGTGGCTACCTTAGAAGGGATTAATGCCATTGAGATAAGATGAAGCTCCCAAATACATGGCGGTAAGTCAAATACTCAAAAGACTAGAGACAAAGAGCAAAAATTGGTGTTAAACTTGCAAAAATCCATTAATAGTTGGCAATAGATATAGCGATGGAGAGTACTGCTCGATGGTAGTTTTGACAAATGGAGTTAAATGATCGGTTGGTAAATTAGTAGATTCACCAATGGTGTTGCATCCATTGGTGTTTTTAAGGATTCAACAACTCAATGTAAATATTTTTTGTAGAACCTTTGTAAATATCTTAAAGTTGTCCATTCATTTACTTGACTTTGTACATCATCACATTATTTTACACAAACACACACTTTTATATGTTCCATATATCTTTAATTCATTTTATATATGGTTAACTCATGATCATATACTTGTAATTTTTCCAGTAAACTTTTTTGTGTTCCATATATCTTTAATAGGATAATGACTTAAAAGGGTAATAAAGTTAAGATTTTGTACATATTTAATCGCTCATCTTTACTTTTGTACACATTTAGTAATTTATGCTTTTTTCTACATATTTGGTCATATGTTTACAAAGTAAAAAACATAAGTGACTAAACATTTACAAAAACATAAGTGACTAAAGTGTACAAAACTAAACATAAATGACTAAATATGTAAAAAATCTAAACTATATTACTCTTTTAAAACATTTACCCATCTTTAATTGCCCTAATCACTAATTTTGAGCTACCAAATTTCAAGCATGCCTTGAAAGTCATTCCGTAATAAATTAGAGTAAATAAATTTCAAGCAAAAATATCAAATGTTTTTTTAGTATCAAATTGTATTTTTATTCGGCCACACATTAAAAACATTATATAAATATACACTCAATATTTTAATGAAAAAATAACATATTCTTTGCCCCGGGTTAGATAGTTTTTTGTTTTGTTTTGTGATCATGCTCTTTTTCAGTTCAGTGGATCTTGGATTTCTTTCGTTCTCATTAGGGCAATGTACTTAAAAAAACTTACAATGTTGTAATAAGAAATGAAAGTAGGGTACTATAATAAACAAATAAATTCAAGATACATTGATATTTAGTGGAATTACGATGTAAATATGGAAAAATACACCAAATAGATCAAAATAAATTGCAAAAACCAAAAACAAAATGTGTAAAGTCAAAGTACATTAATATTTAGTGCATTTACCCCCAAAATATGAAATATATATATATATATATATATATATATATATATATATATATATATATATATATATATATATATATTAGGTGTGAGACCCATGTATTACATGAGTTTAATTACAAAAAAAAAAAACAAAAACAAAAACAAATATAAAATTTTAACAATTTGAAAAGTTTGAATTTATAAGAAAAATGAGAAAAATTTGAATTATTAAAATTAATGAGACTTTAATGTATTGATTACATTACATATATAAATTCTTTCTAATAAATACTTTACATATATATTACCTTACACATTAAATGTCAAATTTTAAATTAATAAAATGAAAAATACAATAAAATGACAAGTGGAAAGTAGAAAATTTTAAAAATCTAGAAAATGCCATGTGTCCAAATGAATGAGAAGAGGACATGTGGCAAAAAAACCTTCATTTATTATAGTAGATATATATATATATATATATATATATATATATATAATGCTACAAATAGCAACTTACTTTGGGTTTTGGTAAAAAATTCAAAACAAATTGTAACCACTTCATCAGTTTGAAACATTCTCAAAATGTTCATGTAAAAACAATGAGTTGATCACATATTTTAATTTCCTTGACAACTTCATTTGCCTAAAGTTTCAAGAGAAGGTTTGCCTAACAGGAATTTGTCTTTTTCTCCATAAGAACATTCCATCGAACACCTGGGGTGCAAAATCAAAAACTTTAGACAAACATTGCCTTCATCTAAGTGGTGATTGCTTATTTCCCAGGAGAACATGACATTTCAGATTTTCAAACAGAGTGTTGGAGTATGGGTAGAAGAACTTACCTCGATACGTTTTCTTGTGGCTATTTCCATCCATAATGATTTTGAAGTTTCTAGAAATGGTTAAAACAATGATGATTAAAGTTAGAATCAGTTTGAAAACAGAAGGTAAAATTCAGAAATGGTTTGCATTGAATAATCCCCATGACACAATTCAAAAACGAAAAGTCAAAATCGGTTAGCATAAAGCTATTCAGAAGAACACAAAAGTAGTAGTGAAGTAATTGGTAAATGTAGCGATTGAAATATGAGATCTTAAAATCCAAAAATGGTTAAACGGTAGTAGATGATAAACTCATAAAAGTCAATTTTTATTGAAGAAAAAAGGAAGAATCAATGGAGAAAAGGGGAGAATATATACCTGAATAGCACGATGATCCTTGTGCTGATTGAGACAAAGAGAACAAAGAGGGCCATTCATGCAATCCAAGCAAAATACATATTGCATTAGGACTTGTTTGAATCTGCGTGCAGTTAAAAATAAGTGTTTGGATAAATAGTTTTTAGCTTATTAGCTTACTAGGTGTGAGACCCATGTATTACATGAGTTTATTTAAAAAAAAATTAAATATAAAATTTTAACAATTTGAAAATTTTGAATTTATAATAAAAATGAGAATTTTTTTGAATTATTAAAATTAATGAGGCTTTAATGTATTGAATACATTACATATATAAACCCTTTCTAATAAATACCTTACATATATATTATCTTATATATTAAATGTGGAATTTTAATTTAATAAAATGAAAAATATAATAAAATGACAAGTGGAAAATAGAAAAGTTAAAAATTCTAGAAAAATTCATGTGTATAAATGAAGAAGAAGAGGACATGTAGTAAAAAACCTTCATTTATTATAGTAGATTGCTTATTTGCTTATTGTGGTGAGAATAAACAATTTTTTTAGTGTGAATAAACAATAAACAATAAACATTTTAAGTGTTAGACAAACAAAACAGCTTATATGAGTAAAATGACCAATGAACAATAAACAATAAGCATCCCCTCCCCCTTGCTTATTAAAATCAGCTTATTTAGCTTATTCCTACCGCAATAAGCTGATTTTTAAAGACTTTTATCCAAACACTTAAATTTGCTTATTGCGGTGGGATTAAGCAATAAACAATAAACAACTTATTTTTTCCCTATTCAAACACCCCCTAATTAATTTGTGCATGATTTAAGTTACTGTTTTTTTGTCCCGAAGAATTTGTGTATTCTGTGTTGGACCAATGTCAAGGGCAACATTTTATTACACATATAAAGATTAATTTCTCAATTTGGAATGAAACACTCCAAATGTAATTCACTTTGTTAAATACATTTAAATGACATACCAAGCATGAATGTTTTTTTTTCTTTAATTTTAAACAGAATACTCATTAGCTATACATAAACAATGTGTACAGTGTAAAAAAAAGGTTATAAAATCTTACATCTCTCAGTATTTGCTCTAGATCTTCATGGTATTTTGCAAAGAACTTGTCATCATATTACCTCTCTTTTCCATCCATGCACTCCAATTTCTATCCGGAAATAATGCATCAACCAAATCGTAAACAAACAAATCTTAAAAAAACGTTTGCATAATATTTAGTTCATACTACCAACCATGTTTTTTAGGCAACAATTCTTTAGTTTCAAAAACCCCATCCCTGACTCCTGACCTGTGATGAAAATTAAAATTAGAAGTATGATGCTATAATACATAAATAAATCAAAGTGTGCTGCCAGTTCTTGCATTTACCCTTTTATACATAGAAGTCTCATATGAACTGAATCGGTGAAAATAATGAAGGGGTGGTCGGGTAGACTTTGCAATTGTTGGGGGGCTTAGTGTTTTTAATTTTTATTATTAGTTGATTAGTTTCATGTAATTATTATAATTTGTCTTGCATTACTATTAATTAGTTCATTGATAAGGATTACGGTTTAGGGTTAGTTTAGGAAAGATTGGGTAGTTGGGTATAAATAATCCATCATGATTACTAAAGAGGCAGAAGCTGAGTTTAAAACCCTAGGAGAGCACCTATTTCTCACAATTTTCTTTTGTTTAGTGACTTAAATAAGAATGCAGCCCAATATCTTCTGAAATAGAATTTACATTTTTATGTATAGCTAACTAAAGGTAGAGAAGACGATCAGAACAATTTTAACTGTTACATTGGAACTATGGGATAAATTTTGAAGATACAAACTCATAAGACACAAATGCCATATAACTGCAAATTTAAAGCCTTGTAAATTATTGTTTCAAATTATGTAAATTGATGTGCTAAATATCATACATCTTAAGGAACTGGGATCATATCAGCGAGACAAAAAGAAAATAGATATCATATGACGTAGAATATAAGGCTAACCATATCATCAATGCAACGACCCAAAAACACGACCCAAAAATTTTCGTTTTTCCATATAATCAAAACCATAATATAAGTATCATAACATAAACACACGCGATGTATCCCCAAAACATAATAAAATATTGTGCGGAAAACTGTATCATACTACATCAATCCAAATCATCAAGAGGCATCCCCAGGATAAAAGCTATGCTGCGGTGTGTGCGATGCTGTCACCCCGAGCTCTTCCCTTTGCTTGCGGAAGTACCTGAAACCAAAACTGAAACTGTAAGCACGAAGCTTAGTGAGCTCCCCCAAACTACCACATACCATACAATAACACATAAACACATATTGGGCCTTGCCCACTGCATCGGGCCGAAGCCCGGAACTGCATCGGACCGAAGTCCGGAACTGTCTGGGACCTTGTCCCCTGCATCGGACCGAAGTCCGGAACTAACTGCATCGGACCGAAGTCCAGAACTGATTGGGACCTTGTCCCCTGCATCGGACCGAAGTCCGGAACTAACTACATCGGACCGAAGTCCGGAACTGACTGGGACCTTGTCCCCTGCATCGGACCGAAGTCCGGAACTAACTGCATCGGACCGAAGTCCGGAACTGACTGACTGAACATGGCATAGCATAACACATCAACTAGCGTAACACATATACGACATGCTACATCGAGCCGTGGCCCGGAACACATAATACTTAACACATAAAACATAGCACACAAATCCTGTTCGAACCACGAAGGAATCGAACATACTAACTACTGCATCGGACCTAAATCCGGAAACTACTGCTAACTGAACGGGCCGGCATTGTGGCCTTAGACCCGTTCCTACTGGAAGGAGACTCACCTCGTAAGCTGGCTGCTGAGTGTCTGGCTCGGAAAGCTAACGGCGGCTGCTCCTGAATCTCCTCGGCTACAAGTCCATAAACACACTCAATCAAATACTAAACACTGCGCTTGGGGTAAAATTACTCT